ATATCGTGTCATAAAAACCAATCTTGATTTAGTTATTTATAAAAATGGATGCATTATATTTTGATGTCGACGATGGGTTATACAGAAGGTATTGTAAGAGAGAGGCGTTAGAATGCCTAATTGTCACTCACCATCTAAAGTTTCACACTGGGCCAAGTGTAGAATTGAGAACGCCACTTTTATGGCACATGAATGTTATAATAAATTTTTTTATTAGGTATGCTTATACGTGATACTTCTTATAACAGGTACTTTGCATGAAAGAGACACTAATGAGTTATTAGAGATGTCACCCACTTGGTATATTTGATTCGGTGCCTGCATTATGTGTTGTGCTGATTGAAACACCACTCGGCATTAAATATATTTTATTTTGACATATATTATTATAATATTAAAATTTAATATTATTTTTAATAGCACCTTATTTTGGGAATTGTATTTCGGCTGATGACCTTGATGAATAAAATATTGAAATTATTCGTAATGTACTTTACAAGGCATATCTTGAAGATTTTTATAAATTGCAAGGGAGGGCTTGGTAGTATTACCGGACAAATAATGAGTGAAATTTTAGAGGCAAGGTGATAACAACAATAATATTTTTGGTTTTATTTTAATTTACAATGAACACTTTATAGTTTGAACCAGATAGACGTGCAATTAATATTACCATAAATTCTTCTGGAACAGAATTGTCAAAAAATGATCGAGTTAAATTATTCCCAAATTTTGAAAAATTACATCCTGTTGGTCATGAGACTTGGAAAAGCTGATGATCTTGAACAAGTTAGAAGTGCTGTAGAAGCTTGAACTGTATATTCAGAAATTATTGAATTTAAATAATTGGTTAATTAGCTGATAAAAAATCAATCAATGTATTGATTATCAAATAAAATAATGTAGGAATATCGCACATTTTTTGATATGACTTTAACTTCGTTTGTGAAGTCACAAGTGAAGCCAAGACCTTGGAAGGTCTATTTTTTGAATACGATGTCCATATTAACAAACTTACATTTCAACAGCAATTTCATTACGCTGTTTTTTATGCGTTTTTAAAATTAAAAGATGGATTACCGAATGTATTAATCAAGGGCAAAAGGAAAGAATTAATAATTATATAGCTATTTTTTAATATTTATTTATTTATATGCGCTTTATTCAAGCATTTATTTAATCAATCATATGATTTTATTGTAAATATTATTGAATTGACAATTATTTATCATTCTTATTAATATTCATTAATTAATTTCTGTCATATAATTTGAAAAAAGCGTTTGAAATGTACCAGTGATAATAAGCTTTAAGATAAACTTTGTAATAAACTTTTTTAGAAAAATAAATTTTACTATAAATTCTCTTTAACAAGTTATGTAAAAAAAAAATAAAAATGGAAACGCCACCAAATAATAATAAAATTTCATTGAATTCAAATCATGACTACTTTACACCGTGTAATAATTCATCTTCTTCATTATTGCATAATAACATTGAAAAAGAATTTGACGAAGAAATTAACAAGTTTCGATCTGACGAAGAATCTTTTAATAACCGAACTATCAAAAATCTAAATGATAGTAGTAATGATGATAATGATAATAATACAGATTATCTTAATGATTACTCTTCACTAGATTATAATATGAATATTGATGAAAATTTTAACTTGTCAAATCAATCAAATTATTATCAAGAACAATTAGAAACACCACACAACCTCTACCTCCATCGTCGCCATTATCATCTCCCAATTCACAAAATCAAGTTGGAGTTGTAAAACCAAAAAAGGAACAAATTCTTACTATCGATGAATATGGATTTGTTTATGATATATCAGAAGAGAAAGTTCTAATTGGAGCAGATAGGGTTCCGAGAATGTTTGTATATTGATTTGTTTATTTGTTTGTTATTTATTTATTTGCATAATTAAATTAAATAAATGTCTAATATTAATAATATAATGTTTAGTATACAAACTCCTAATACTGAAGAAAAATCTACACGTGCTATTCAATTATATCGTCAACGTGAAGCAAAATGGTTGGATATTATTAGTAGCATGAATCCTAGTATGGCAAGAGATTCAAGAAAGGTATTAATTATTATTTAATATAATTTAAATAAATAAACACATGGTTATAATAATTATAATAATAACGTTGTTGTTTTGAAATGATTATTGATCAGATCAAAAAATTGGTTCGTCTTGGTATTCCCGAATCATTACGTGGAAAAGCATGGCAATTTATGGCAGGTGCAGATAAACTTAGGAGACCTGGTTATTATGATGTAAATTTAATTGGTTATAATAATTATTTGGTTTACAAATATTAGATAAGATACATATATAAATATTTATTTATTTTGGATTTATTTAGGAATTACGAAAATGCCCTGTTATTCCTATTTATGATATAATTGAGAGAGATATACACAGATGTTATCCTGACCATATCCAATTTCGAAAAGAGACTGGCTTTGGGTATTTATTATTATGTATTCGTATATAAACAAATGTTGTTTATTATATTAACATTTATTTTTTTTTTAGACAAGAAGATCTCCATGATGTTCTTAAAGCATATGCACATTATAATCCATCGATAGGATATTGTCAAGGAATGGGACGTTTAGTTGGCATGATGCTTATGCAAATGCCAGTAGAAGATTCATTTTGGTTACTCGTAGCAACCATAGAAAAATATATGGTTGGATATTTTACACCTAATTTGACTCAAATTAGAATAAATTCCGTTATATTTGAACAACTTTTAATCGAAAATTATCCCAAACTAGCACAACATTTGGTAATATATATATATTTAGAAAATTTATTATCATTATTGATAGCAACGAAATAAAATTAATAATAAATTTTTTTCAAATAGGCTGAAAATGATGTAATTCCACTCATATACGTTACTCAATGGTTTATGACACTATTTACCATGACATTGCCATGGGCATCTGTACTACGTGTCTGGGACATGTTTTATTTTGAGGGTGTGAATTTATTCTATAGAATTGGACTGGCAATAATGGAATGTTCACAAGATTATATTCTTAAAGAATGTCCAACAAGTTCAGAAATCTTGGAGTTTTTATTACATATCCCACATGAATTCTTGACACCAGATCTATTGTTAGAAGCAGCATTTAAAATCAAGATTAAAAAACGTGTTAGAAAATTAACAAAAAAAATCGAGGCAATGGAAAAGGGAAAAGATAACGATTATCCTAATATTAATAATCTTGATTTTATTAATGGAACTGTAAACATTAAAAATGCTAGTGTTATTGATCCCAACAATAGTGGTAATAATGTCGCTGTTAATAACGGCAACAATGATGGTAGTAATGTTAATGACAGTATTATTAATAATATTGATACAAAATCAAATTTTAATTATGATAAAATATTGACAAGTAAAAAATCAAAAAATGATAAATTAAAGGTTAACGGTGTCGAATTTAAATTAATTGGGGAATGAGGTCAATAACATTATTATTAACATTTTAGAATCATAATTACATTTATTTATTATAATTTTCATTTTAGAAATCAAACATACATAATTTATTAATTTTTAATTTATATATTTAAACAATTTACTTGTGCAAATGTATATATATATAATATTTGATAAAACTATATTTATATTTATTGTTATTATTACAAATTAGAGGAAAGGAAATATATATTTATTTATTCATTCATTTGTTGCGTCAAGTCTCCGAGCGATTTCTCAAGTGTATCTATTCTTGGTCCCATATCATCCACTAATATTCAATTGAAATAGTGATAGTGATGTCAATATTGTTATTATGGCGTGATTAATAATAATAATGGTTAAAAAAAATTAATCCTTGCTTTTGGAAAATAAATTTGTTGATAATTCATCAAAATTTGATTGTTAAATAACATCAAAGCATATATAATAAGAACAAGATTTTGAAAAAGGTGAATTGTTGATTAAGAAAATTTTATTACCATTTGTTGAACTACATTTTTAACCTAAAAAAATAGATACCAAAAATATTATTATTTAAAAAAAGCTCAGGGGATAGAGAAATCGAATTTTCTTTATACATATGCTATTAATTCCTGGGGTGTTTGTATATCATCAACTGAGTCATTCTTGACATTATTTGTATTGGTATTGGTGTGTTTGTATTGATATTTGTATTTGTATTGTTATTGGTATTGTCAGTTTCTTGGGATTCAATTTGTACAGTAGTAGAAGACATTGAATACCGTGTAACATTGAGACGATTTTAGTAAATTAATTACAAATTGATAATGAAAAGGTCAGTAATATTACAATTATAGATGTAGATGTAATAATGAATATGACCAGGTGTCTCGCCCAGAAAGATTATGAATTTGATCTCTTTGTCAAAGCTTAATTGATGGCAATACAAATAAAGATAACAACCAATCTCCAGAACAAATTATATTGTTATAATTCATCAATTAAAATTTATCCAACAGTTCTTTAAATGAAAGTAAATGATTAGCAGGGTCCTAACTTGTGCGCACTAGTACATAATATTAACATTCAAAGTAAAAAAATTTTTGTTTATTTCCCTGCTTTTAAATCTTGTACATATATTAAATTAATATATTATGCTCATGTTGATCATTAGCCTTTTAGGCGATCACGAGTTCGATCAAGTGAAACTTTAATACATTATTAAATACAAATATCATTTGTTTATTATTATTTATTAATTGGGTGTTAGGAGTCAAATTGTTATTATTATTGGTTGGGTCTAATAGGGTAAATCTATTGGTATTCAGCGATTTATTACAGTATTAGGGGATGTGTAACAAATTTTTTTCTTTCAAAAATACTCTAAGTAAATCTTTTATATTAAAAAAAAATTATATCATTGAGTAGACAGTTTAAAATTTTTAATGTTGTATATATTTTGGGTCAAATTATGTTCTTTTTTCTAATGTTACTGAAATCTTAGAGTCAAGTTATGTTATACTTAATTTTGGTCTGGGTAAATCATAGTGCAAGACACCTAGTCCCACAACTTTTCATTGTCCT